TTCTTTCTTTCTTTCTTTCTTTCTTTCTTTCTTTCTTTCTTTCTTTCTTTCTTTCTTTCTTTCTTTCTTTCTTTCTTTCTTTCTTTCTTTCTTTCTTTCTTTCTTTCTTTCTTTCTTTCTTTCTTTCTTTCTTTCTTTCTTTCTTTCTTTCTTTCTTTCTTTCTTTCTTTCTTTCTTTCTTTCTTTCTTTCTTTCTTTCTTTCTTTCTTTCTTTCTTTCTTTCTTTCTTTCTTTCTTTCTTTCTTTCTTTCTTTCTTTCTTTCTTTCTTTCTTTCTTTCTTTCTTTCTTTCTTTCTTTCTTTCTTTCTTTCTTTCTTTCTTTCTTTCTTTCTTTCTTTCTTTCTTTCTTTCTTTCTTTCTTTCTTTCTTTCTTTCTTTCTTTCTTTCTTTCTTTCTTTCTTTCTTTCTTTCTTTCTTTCTTTCTTTCTTTCTTTCTTTCTTTCTTTCTTTCTTTCTTTCTTTCTTTCTTTCTTTCTTTCTTTCTTTCTTTCTTTCTTTCTTTCTTTCTTTCTTTCTTTCTTTCTTTCTTTCTTTCTTTCTTTCTTTCTTTCTTTCTTTCTTTCTTTCTTTCTTTCTTTCTTTCTTTCTTTCTTTCTTTCTTTCTTTCTTTCTTTCTTTCTTTCTTTCTTTCTTTCTTTCTTTCTTTCTTTCTTTCTTTCTTTCTTTCTTTCTTTCTTTCTTTCTTTCTTTCTTTCTTTCTTTCTTTCTTTCTTTCTTTCTTTCTTTCTTTCTTTCTTTCTTTCTTTCTTTCTTTCTTTCTTTCTTTCTTTCTTTCTTTCTTTCTTTCTTTCTTTCTTTCTTTCTTTCTTTCTTTCTTTCTTTCTTTCTTTCTTTCTTTCTTTCTTTCTTTCTTTCTTTCTTTCTTTCTTTCTTTCTTTCTTTCTTTCTTTCTTTCTTTCTTTCTTTCTTTCTTTCTTTCTTTCTTTCTTTCTTTCTTTCTTTCTTTCTTTCTTTCTTTCTTTCTTTCTTTCTTTCTTTCTTTCTTTCTTTCTTTCTTTCTTTCTTTCTTTCTTTCTTTCTTTCTTTCTTTCTTTCTTTCTTTCTTTCTTTCTTTCTTTCTTTCTTTCTTTCTTTCTTTCTTTCTTTCTTTCTTTCTTTCTTTCTTTCTTTCTTTCTTTCTTTCTTTCTTTCTTTCTTTCTTTCTTTCTTTCTTTCTTTCTTTCTTTCTTTCTTTCTTTCTTTCTTTCTTTCTTTCTTTCTTTCTTTCTTTCTTTCTTTCTTTCTTTCTTTCTTTCTTTCTTTCTTTCTTTCTTTCTTTCTTTCTTTCTTTCTTTCTTTCTTTCTTTCTTTCTTTCTTTCTTTCTTTCTTTCTTTCTTTCTTTCTTTCTTTCTTTCTTTCTTTCTTTCTTTCTTTCTTTCTTTCTTTCTTTCTTTCTTTCTTTCTTTCTTTCTTTCTTTCTTTCTTTCTTTCTTTCTTTCTTTCTTTCTTTCTTTCTTTCTTTCTTTCTTTCTTTCTTTCTTTCTTTCTTTCTTTCTTTCTTTCTTTCTTTCTTTCTTTCTTTCTTTCTTTCTTTCTTTCTTTCTTTCTTTCTTTCTTTCTTTCTTTCTTTCTTTCTTTCTTTCTTTCTTTCTTTCTTTCTTTCTTTCTTTCTTTCTTTCTTTCTTTCTTTCTTTCTTTCTTTCTTTCTTTCTTTCTTTCTTTCTTTCTTTCTTTCTTTCTTTCTTTCTTTCTTTCTTTCTTTCTTTCTTTCTTTCTTTCTTTCTTTCTTTCTTTCTTTCTTTCTTTCTTTCTTTCTTTCTTTCTTTCTTTCTTTCTTTCTTTCTTTCTTTCTTTCTTTCTTTCTTTCTTTCTTTCTTTCTTTCTTTCTTTCTTTCTTTCTTTCTTTCTTTCTTTCTTTCTTTCTTTCTTTCTTTCTTTCTTTCTTTCTTTCTTTCTTTCTTTCTTTCTTTCTTTCTTTCTTTCTTTCTTTCTTTCTTTCTTTCTTTCTTTCTTTCTTTCTTTCTTTCTTTCTTTCTTTCTTTCTTTCTTTCTTTCTTTCTTTCTTTCTTTCTTTCTTTCTTTCTTTCTTTCTTTCTTTCTTTCTTTCTTTCTTTCTTTCTTTCTTTCTTTCTTTCTTTCTTTCTTTCTTTCTTTCTTTCTTTCTTTCTTTCTTTCTTTCTTTCTTTCTTTCTTTCTTTCTTTCTTTCTTTCTTTCTTTCTTTCTTTCTTTCTTTCTTTCTTTCTTTCTTTCTTTCTTTCTTTCTTTCTTTCTTTCTTTCTTTCTTTCTTTCTTTCTTTCTTTCTTTCTTTCTTTCTTTCTTTCTTTCTTTCTTTCTTTCTTTCTTTCTTTCTTTCTTTCTTTCTTTCTTTCTTTCTTTCTTTCTTTCTTTCTTTCTTTCTTTCTTTCTTTCTTTCTTTCTTTCTTTCTTTCTTTCTTTCTTTCTTTCTTTCTTTCTTTCTTTCTTTCTTTCTTTCTTTCTTTCTTTCTTTCTTTCTTTCTTTCTTTCTTTCTTTCTTTCTTTCTTTCTTTCTTTCTTTCTTTCTTTCTTTCTTTCTTTCTTTCTTTCTTTCTTTCTTTCTTTCTTTCTTTCTTTCTTTCTTTCTTTCTTTCTTTCTTTCTTTCTTTCTTTCTTTCTTTCTTTCTTTCTTTCTTTCTTTCTTTCTTTCTTTCTTTCTTTCTTTCTTTCTTTCTTTCTTTCTTTCTTTCTTTCTTTCTTTCTTTCTTTCTTTCTTTCTTTCTTTCTTTCTTTCTTTCTTTCTTTCTTTCTTTCTTTCTTTCTTTCTTTCTTTCTTTCTTTCTTTCTTTCTTTCTTTCTTTCTTTCTTTCTTTCTTTCTTTCTTTCTTTCTTTCTTTCTTTCTTTCTTTCTTTCTTTCTTTCTTTCTTTCTTTCTTTCTTTCTTTCTTTCTTTCTTTCTTTCTTTCTTTCTTTCTTTCTTTCTTTCTTTCTTTCTTTCTTTCTTTCTTTCTTTCTTTCTTTCTTTCTTTCTTTCTTTCTTTCTTTCTTTCTTTCTTTCTTTCTTTCTTTCTTTCTTTCTTTCTTTCTTTCTTTCTTTCTTTCTTTCTTTCTTTCTTTCTTTCTTTCTTTCTTTCTTTCTTTCTTTCTTTCTTTCTTTCTTTCTTTCTTTCTTTCTTTCTTTCTTTCTTTCTTTCTTTCTTTCTTTCTTTCTTTCTTTCTTTCTTTCTTTCTTTCTTTCTTTCTTTCTTTCTTTCTTTCTTTCTTTCTTTCTTTCTTTCTTTCTTTCTTTCTTTCTTTCTTTCTTTCTTTCTTTCTTTCTTTCTTTCTTTCTTTCTTTCTTTCTTTCTTTCTTTCTTTCTTTCTTTCTTTCTTTCTTTCTTTCTTTCTTTCTTTCTTTCTTTCTTTCTTTCTTTCTTTCTTTCTTTCTTTCTTTCTTTCTTTCTTTCTTTCTTTCTTTCTTTCTTTCTTTCTTTCTTTCTTTCTTTCTTTCTTTCTTTCTTTCTTTCTTTCTTTCTTTCTTTCTTTCTTTCTTTCTTTCTTTCTTTCTTTCTTTCTTTCTTTCTTTCTTTCTTTCTTTCTTTCTTTCTTTCTTTCTTTCTTTCTTTCTTTCTTTCTTTCTTTCTTTCTTTCTTTCTTTCTTTCTTTCTTTCTTTCTTTCTTTCTTTCTTTCTTTCTTTCTTTCTTTCTTTCTTTCTTTCTTTCTTTCTTTCTTTCTTTCTTTCTTTCTTTCTTTCTTTCTTTCTTTCTTTCTTTCTTTCTTTCTTTCTTTCTTTCTTTCTTTCTTTCTTTCTTTCTTTCTTTCTTTCTTTCTTTCTTTCTTTCTTTCTTTCTTTCTTTCTTTCTTTCTTTCTTTCTTTCTTTCTTTCT